AGAATCGGTTCTTTCTTTTGGGAGACAGTAACTCCACTCCATTTCTCGTGCACACTGATCTTTGAAACTCTGCAGACCGTTTACATTCACAAACAGCTATATATTACACACTACATTTAAAGATAATATCCAAAAAAGCAGTTGGGGCACTTTAAAATGATGGAGCTATAATTCAATTTCTTTCCATGTATTTTCCACAGATTCAATTTGTGCTGGTGACTGTCCATATCTCTCAGTATTACTTCATGGAAAAGTGTGAATTTCAAGTTCCCCTCTTCATTCATCTCATCTTGATCTACGGCACGTTTTTCTTTATCCTCTTCTCAAACTTCTGGATCCAGGCCTACGTAAAGGGCAAGCGACTACCTGTTTCTAATGAGGACAAACCCAAACAGAATGGCATTACCACTGTGATTGAGCCTGTGGTAGTGGCCAATGGCAAACACTTGGAAAACGGCAATGTGCACTACACTAATGGATTTGCCCACAATGGTAAAGTGAAGGAGGTCTAAGTGGGCCAATCAAAACATCAGAGACATGATTGTTAGATTATTTTTGTCAAATGTTAATATTTTTACGATTGCACGGGAGATGAAGCGGCACATTGGATCTGGCGGTGGGTCCCCCTTTCTTTGTATTTATGGATGTTGGAGGCTGGGGAGCACTATGCATGAAGAGAATTCGTCCACTGAAGATGGCTTCGTTGACGTCGCTCTGAAACCTGACAGCATGTCTGTGGTTTAATCCTGTTGACCATGGCTTTTTTCCTGGCATATGAGTCTCCCTGTTGTTTGCACACTGTACAGTTCTCACAAACTTGACTGTATATAAATATTTCCTCAGTTTATTGGAAATGTATGTGTTGTCCATTTTTCTAGAGTTTGTTCGTAACTTATCAGTTAATAAACACTTTTTATAATAAATTGTATTTTCTTTTTTGTTTGTTTTTTGCTTAATGCTCTATTTGTGAAGTTGAAATGAAACAAAACATTGTTTACATGGTGTGTATATTATAGACACTCCATGCAACTTGCATCCTTCCCTTGCTGGTAAAAATCACACAAAGCCTTAAAATTATACCTTTTTTTGTCCAGAAAGCTTATATCATTTAATTTTTATAATTTAATGCAAATATCTTTTTGCATTACATTTTTAAGAGATTTTTTATCTCTTTTTTTATTTTGTTTACTTTTAAAAGTTCTAGATTTGTATCAATAAATAATATAATTTAAACCATTCTTCACATTCTTTCAATTCAAATTCAAAATAACTCCAATACATGTAATAACCTGGTAATAACCAGCTCTAATCATCTCACATTGGGTCAATATGGGTGTCTCTGCCGACCTCTTGTGGAAAACAAAAAATATAACATGATATTTCATGACTCTTGCCACTAGACTAGATGGTCTTATAGCTCTAAGGAGCAAATGAACAGAAATCTTCTCCTGGGCCCTGCCTGAAGCCAGTTCCTGAATTTATCTCTTCAGTATGCATTCAGATTCACATGTAGACATAAAATATTTGTTTTTTGTTTTTTTTCTATGTGAAGCATTCATTCCTAAGGGACAGAATAATTTGTTTTTATTACAACCACAAACTATATCCATTCTTTTTTCCTTCTTTTTGTATTTGTTTTTTTGATCACTCAATTTCTAAAAAATAAAATAAAAAATGAGTTTCAAAATTACCCGAAGGAAGGATGAGAATTGAAAGTTCCATAGCAGAACCTCAAAGCGTTTAGACTGCTTAAGACAGATGATTTTCAAAATAAATTAGCTGTAATTTATAAATTTGCAACAAGAATATTTTCATACTCCTAAGGTGTTTAGAGCTTTATTTTGAAATAGTGATGAACATGAAAAATCATGAAAGAAGGGTAGAAACCTCAGTTTGTTTTCATGCCAAGAGTTCAAAAGATAGCATCCATTCAATTATTTTAGAAAAAAAATAAATTTAAATATAAAGAAAAAATATATAGATTCACCATTTGTGATGTGGCAGCAAGCTATAACGCACATACTTGTTCTTTTTATGTGTTTCTTAGAGGTTGAATTCATATCAAAATCTGCCAAACTTCTCATATTACTTCTGAATAGGATGTCTACTTCATAAATTGTATGAAAATTGTGAAAATAATGTTTCAGATCACTCAAAACACATATGGAAATGGAGGCACCCTTATATTGTGTTAACACACAACAGGTTAAGTAAAAGTAAAAGTACAGAAGTACTTGTTTTTAAAAGTAGCCTACTTAAAGTCCCACTCCGATCATATTTTTGAGCTATTTTTAAACATTCCCAGTGGTCTTTAAATTATGATTATGCCATTTTTAGCCAAAATCACAAAACCTGTGCCGTTTCTGGGACTTTGCTTCAGCAGAGCGGCAGTAGCTCATTAGAAATTCGCCTCTGCGTTGTGGGCGGAGCCGTTGGCACGGAGACGACCCTCCCCCTCCCCGTTGCTGAGAGCTCTGTCTCTCCTGCTAGCTTAAATCCCCAAACTGTCAATACCGGTGCAACAAAAATGGAGAACAATATTGGAAACATATCCAGCCGTACAGTTTTGAGCCAGATGCCAGCTCGGACGAGGAACAAGAGGACGTACATAGATCTAGTCGTCGTCTACAAGTGGATGTATCAGAATGGTATTGTTTTTGTAATCTCTTGAATTGACTATTTCAGGCCAATAACTCCTAATAACATGTTAGTAAATAAATATGTTTGTGGACATGCTCCAAACATTTAGTCAGATTAACCTTTTTGAAGTTGATAGTGTCTTGATGGAAGGCACTGCATCCGGCTTCAAAAACAATTTATTGACGAAGCCCATTTTCTTCTCCTGCCAGTTGGTGAAACAGTCTTCTGTAAAGTGCTGAACGCAAACCGATGTGTGGTTTTTAACATTGCCGTGACCAAGGAACGTAATCCATCTATCTCTCACAGCAACATGTTTTGGTAAAGCATGAAAGCTAATACCACTATTTCTCCTCTTAGCATTGCAACCCGCTACCGCACATAGGTGTTGATCCGCCATCGTCTTCTCTAGAACCTGAGCGGGCGTGGCGGGGAGTATGAGCTTGTGGCCCCGCCCAGTGGAGTTACTACGTCACAACTCCAGTCTATTTCAAACGGCATTTTTGCGTCTGCTACTGATTCACAGCCATTTGAATGTAGAAATACTCAGAAATACAACTTTGAGCTTATTTTTCTAAAGATATGTCCTCTAACATAAGAAAAATGCCACAAGAACATGTTAACACCTAGAAAAACATTATTTTCATCGGAGTGGGTCTTTAAGTATCAAAAGTAAAAGTCAATGCATTATTTTATTATTGCTGCATTGTTGTAATACTTACAGTACCTTATGCCTCTGAATCTATGCCTGCCTACCCTCATATCAATATCAAATTTATTTCTAGAACACAGTTCCAGTAGTGGGATTGAATGCGAGATTGAATAAATGCACTCAATAACATCCACAATGGTTTCGGACACCCAAATGGCTGTTCCCTCAAATAGTGCCCTATTTAAAGTTTTTTGGCTTTTAGTGTGAATATGTTAGCCTTATTGTTTTCTGTAAGCTAGTGTGCTCCAAAACAATGACAAAATTCGCATTTAGAAGACCAAACCCAACGTTGAAAATGAAAATCAGGTTGATGTCAGAATCCAACACCAATCTCCAACGCTGAACAGACGTTAAAAATGACTGACGTCGGATTCTGACGTCAACCCGACTTTATTTTCAAACCAAAATGCAACCACTGCAACCTAAATCATCCCCTGACTGACGTACTTTCGATTCAAGGACCTTGACAGAATTATAGTGGAGTAAAGAGTACAATTATTTGTCTTAAAGTAAAAAGTTTACAGAAAAAAATACTCAAGTACAGCTACTCAAAACGTGTACTTAAGTATAGTACTCAAGTAAATGTACTTTTGTTACTGTCCACCTCTGTCAATTTACAAAAACAAGCTAAGAGAGGAGAACACCAGAACACATCTGACAAAACCAGTGTCTGTTGCCATCCGTCAGTGCGAATTGGCCTCAACAGCAAATGTCAGTTTTGTTTTCCCCCACATACTTTAAATTAGTTCTTTCTTGGATGTTTTATTTTTTGTATTATAATGCACTGATCCTTGTCCATTTTCCAGTTTCTTAGCTTTAGCGTCAATACATTAACACCATTTCTGAATTATAAAGAGCTTTCCATTATTTATTCAGACTATACCTTGGGCCAGGGGTGCCCAATCCTGCCAAAACAGGAGTTGGCACCACTGCCTTCAGCTTATGACCATCAGAAATCACCAAATATTGCATGCAATTTAATTGCTTGTCCTGGAAAAGCCATTTATTAGGATAAAACATACTTTCACCAATATTCTTCCCTTCCATTTAAGAGTTCAAGCTAGTCACAAAACACTCAATGCTTTCAGTGGTTTTTAATTCCACCATTCTGCCAACATGGCAATACATGATTTCACTTAATAGCACTTTAAAACCATGCATTAAAATACAAAATGTAACTAATTGAAAACACGCAGTAGAGAGCACCTATAAAAGGCAAAAAGCAGCATGTCAAAAGGGGGAAGAAATTCTTACAAAACTTTATTTGAAAATTTACATTTCTGTACATACTTTAGTGATTACTTTTATAGTTAAATATGCAATAACTTGAGTATGAAAAATAAATCACAAGTCGTTATTCAAGGGTTTAACTTTCAAAGGAGGTGGTCTTCTGGGAATCTCATTTGTACTCATTTTTAATTTAAAAACACATTGTGCCTCTGAAAACGCAAGAATAAGGGAGTATCTAACAAAACTTAGTGTAGAGCTTTTGACAGGCATGACAGCACGTAACATTGGTTTGTTTGGCTTTCAAAGGGCTGGGCAATTCTATTCACAATGGAAGTTTCTAATAAACAAACCGCTTCAGATCTTTAAAGCTTCCCCAACTCCCCGTTTGTTGGATGCATAAAATAAAAAAATTGATAAAAAAAAAATCCATTATCCATTATCGAATACGTTGTTGAATGATGCTGTTGGTGGGCTTGGGTTTCTTGATGGCATCCTTTTCAAAACCCTTCCAAAGTCGAATGGTTTCATCAGCAGCAACAGAAGCCACAGTTGAACCATCTGGACTCATAGCCAAGTTGAGGACTCTGTCTTCATGTCCTGAGATGGATAATTTGGGAAGGACAGGAATTTAAATGTAAATTTGCAATTTAGTATGGTTGTAATGTTTAACTGAATGAAGGGTGATGACCACACAAATTTACAAAGTACAAACTCAAACTTGCCTTCAAGCTCTGCAACTTTAGTGAGTGAGGGGTATCTCCAGATAATAACCTTGTCATGAGCAAAACCGTGGCCAGACACCAACTCTTTGTAATTCGGTGCAAAAACAAGAGACGATACCTGGAGGGAAGCGAAAATCGTATCACTTAAGATAACATTACCTGTGCTAGAACATGCAGGGAGACAGTGGGTGAGCCTACCTGTGAACAAGTATCAAATGCACTGATACAAGAGCCACTGTTGGCATTCCAGATGCGAATATGACGGTCACTGGTGCCCCCTCCTGATGCAAGGATGCTAGGCTGCCAAGGGCACCATGCCAAAGCCTTAAGGGTGCAAAAGGGACAGAAATCTCAACTATAACCTCAGTGGAAAATCAGAGTGGGAATAGAGGTTCATGTCCTTCCAAATTCAAGTTACCTTGACCGCTCCCTGGTGTTCACTTAGAGCATGGATGGCTTGATATTCCGAACCCGTCGTCATTGGCCAAACGTACACCATATTGTCATTGCCACCGCTAGCTAAATATTTCCCATCTGGAGACCAGGTAAGGCCACAGACTTCCTGAGTGTGTCCACCGAAGGTAAAGATGTGGTGGTCTGCTACTCGAACATCATGCTGATGAATCAAACCAGACCTGGAGCCACTGTGGAGAACAAACAAAGTGTTAAACCCCCTCAAATACATATAATCTGCAGAGCGCAAGGAGATGCCGTCTTACCTAGACAAAACATGATCATTCCAACTCAAGCAACCAACCCTTGCCGAATGGCCATCCATGCTGCGGAGACGCTTTTGGCACTGAACATCCCATAACTGCAAGAAATTGTATGACATTGAGAAATTCAGCAAACAAGATGGCAATTTGCAGAGCAATATCTTGACTGGTTTATGCATAGTAGCTGCAATCTCTACAGAACATCCATCATGACTGTGCGTTCACACCGGACGCGAATAGCGCGTCTACCGCGTCTACAAATCGCGTCTACCGCGTCTAGTTTGACGCTTGACCACTTTGTGTTAATTCGCGTCAATGGCGAAATTGACGCGCGTAAAAACAAAAGTTTGAAGCGAAATTTACGCGCGTCAGAGGCGAAATCCGGAGGCGAAAGTTTCGAAACCCGTTGGCGGCCATCTTTTTAGATGTTTATCGAGCATTAGCATTAGCATTATTCGAGAGAGTCACCGCTCGTATATGCTCTGGAGAGCAGAAACAGCTGCGTAGGGGACATCGTCGCTGTACTCGGGTCCACCAGACCCTCCGGAGGGTTTCAGGAGTTTCACAATTTGCTCCAGGAGCTAGGTTTGGTGGACCTAATGGTGAGGACGCTGATGAGGACAGCGTAGGCCGTATAAGCCCTCGGCCTCGAGTGGTCTATGCCTGTCGAGCCCGCGCTCTACAGCCCGGCGCGAGGTTCACCCTCGCCCGCATCCACCTAATCTGTCATTTATTTTTGTTTTGATAATAAATGAAGCCAGCCTCCAAAAGTGATTAATCTGTCCTGTGATTTTTCTCTCTCTCTCACACATCACTGTCCAGACACGAACTTATATGTTGGTTGTCTTTACATTATAATAATATTTCATATAATCTAGATATGGAATAAATAGCATTCAATGCAAAATGAATATGTCTCATATATTGAAATCAAGTTTTATGTGATAAAATATTTGCTTTGTTGTGCATTAGAACCACAGTCATATATTACAAAATAATTTATTGAAGCATCCAGATACTTCACCACGTGACAGCAGCAAGCAGCTAGGCTCCTGATTGGTTAACGCGGCGCGAATTGACGCAGAAGTTCAGATTTTTCAACTCGGGCGGCAGACGCGAATTCGCGTCAAACGTGTGAATGCACAAATAGCACTAACTAAATCATTCGCGCGTAACGCGCTTAACGCGCCAGACGCTCAATTCGCGGCATTCGCGCGAACTTGATGCGCGAATGAGGCGTATTCAGGTCTACCGCGCCGCGCTCTACGCCTCATTCGCGCTGCAGGAATTTTTTACGCGCGTAACGCGTCTTTGCATTGACTTAACATTGAAATCACTCGCGCCTTACGCGCTATTCGCGTCCGGTGTGAACGCACCATGAGAAACTGAACACTGGAGTCAAAAAGGTGAGAACCATAGTATAATTATTCAACCACAGTATGAGAAAACAAAAGTCAATTACCTCGACTTTACAATCACTGGTCCCAACAGCCAAGAAATTGCCATCTTTGCTCCATGAGACAGAACAGATGTATTCATTATCATCCTCCATTTTCTTCAATAAAACAATGCTCCCCATGCCAGCATCCCACAAATACACTTGGTTGGCAAGGCCAACTGCCAAAACATTCTGCCTTCCCCAATCCATCAGGTTCAGATCTGGACACAAATTTCAACATTAGTCTCACATAAATAGTCTCTTCAAATTAGACTACATGGTGGAATGCAAAACTGTCAGCTCACAGAAGTCGTTTTTGATATCAGGGGCATCTAGAATTCGCTCTGGAACGGAGGCAATGTACCGGCTCTTCTTGATCGAGACCGGTGTGGGAACCTGACTGTAGAGAACCTTCAAGTTGTTCTGATAACCTGTGGGAGATGATGTTCGGTTCACTCGAGGGAGCCATTTGTGGAAGGACGTTACCAGGCAAATTAAACTTAAAGGAATGGTTCACCCAAAAAATTAATCGTCATTACCAACTCACCCTCAAGTTGTTACAAACCTGTAGAAGTTTTTTTCTTCTGTGTAACAAAATGATATTTTAAGAATGTTGGTAACCAGAGGCCCATTGACTTCCCTAACAGGGAGAAAATGGGAAGAAAAAAACCTATTGAAGACAATGGGTGCCGTCAACTGTCTGGTTAACAACATTCTTTAAAATATCATCTTGTTACACAGAAGGAAAAACACTTATACAGGTTTGAAACAACTTGAGGGTGATAAAAATGCCAATTTTCATTTTTGGCCGAACTATCCCTTTAAACCAATAAGCCAAAAACAAGTTATTCAATTTAATATTACTACTAAAAAATAAAAACCATACCCTCAGGGGCGTTCAGTGGCTTTCCTCCTAAATGCAAGATCTTTGCTTCCTCAATGTCATATCCATTTAGTGTCACAGACCAAGCTTTCTGATTTGGCTGCAAGGACATTAATTGGCAGTCAGAAAACATCTATAACCTGATGCATTTATGATGATGTTTTATTGTAATAATTTATAAATACAACACAATTGTTATTATTAGGAACTTACTGCTGTAGAGGAGTCTTCCACTGGCTCGTTTTCTTTGGAAATAAGAAAACTTGCTACATCCAACTGCTTGTTATTTCTTGTTGGGATGAATCGATCTCCTCCTGCCTTAGAGGGGGTGTTTTGGGTCTTGCCGTTCTTTCCTTTTAAGAGACATTGAATATTTAACACTGAACTGAAGACACTCCAACTAACTACAATGACCAGTGGCAGCTCAACAGGGGAGGCACAGCCTACCCAAAATTGTGAGGTGAAAATGGGAGAGGGATGATTTAATGTTGATAAAATTCCCAGTTATTCATTTCATGTCTCAGAATGTGCATTTCTTTCACCACTGGAAGTGTAACCACCGCAGGACTCTTCCCCAACTGTGTTGAATCTGTGAAACGCGAGTCTAAGGGGGGAAAAAGGGGAGCCAAATCCATAGCCGGAGACTTGTGCCTCCGTTAGTAAAAAAATAATAATAATATATAAAAAAAAACCTATCACCAGAGTATTTTACTTTTAACGATTGGGGTGTTGAGGAAAAGACACAGGGCAGAGCAGGTTAGCCTCCCTTGGTATTAGAGCCCGACCGATATGGATTTTGGGGGCCGATACCGATAAAAAAGCCAGATACCGATATATATCGGACGATATTTTTTATGTGTATATTATAATACAGTAGCAATATTATGTATGTGTATTATAGTACAGTACCAGTAAAAAGTTTGGACACTTTCCTATTGGTGTACAAACTTTTGATGGGTACTGTATATAGAATACACAGTATAAAGAGAATAAATATATAAACTTTTTGCAATGATCACTCAAATATGGTGATCAAACACTTGTGTGACAAAGATATGTAATGGAGACACGGTGAATGATAGAATGAGAATGATACATTTGAGCTGTAACCAAACTAGTTTGCATTGCATGTTATATTATATTCTAAATACTGTTGCATAATCTTCACTAACGACTTTGTCTTTTAACTTAGTTATAAACATAACTTGTATCAATAAATATCAAAAGTGTCACTGACAAAACCTTCTCTTCTTTTTTTAGTCTTAATTCCTCTAATCTCTACCAGTGGAGGAAGAACTCTGATCTCTTTACTGAAGTAAAATTAATATCATAATGAAAACGTTTTTAATTACATATGTACAGTACTTTTATACTATTTTAAATTAGTAAGCAAAATGTAAACATGAAACTAAGTGTTATAATTATATAACTTATTGGAATATTGCTTGATGTTGTAAGCATTATAGGCAGAATGAGCTTTAACACTATCTACACCGGACGCGGCCGTTATTGCTCGCGTCGCAACAGCTGTTTACCCGAGACTAGGGATGGGCATTTTTCACAAATATTGCATTCGAATATTCGGGCTCATAAAAATCGAATATTCGAATATTCGTTTATTTAAATTAAGTTTAATGAAAAAGACGTTATTTAATAAGTTTTTTTTTTTTTTTTACGTTTTTGTCACCATTTCTGAACAAGCTTAGGCTACAATTAGGCAATATACACAACAAGCTTACGATATATGTTAAAGTTTTCTTTTAGTTGAAAACATTAAACAGTAGGCCTATGTGTAAACAAAAAAAAAATATTAAAAACAAAAGCATTAATAAAAGCATGCTCAAGCAGCGCGAACGGAAAAAAAACGCCTAATAAAGCAGATTGCGCCAGATATCGTACAGAACGTACACACACTCGAGTCAGCATATCGTGTTTATATTGTTTCACGTTTATATTGAGAAAAACGATATCCACATGCAGGGGCGCCGCCAGCAATTTATGCTCGAGTGAGAAAAGGCGCTTTGCTGACAGACGCTTCAGAGACACAAAGATAACGGTGTTCTAAGTTTCTAACAGCACTTTGCGTTTTCTGTTCTTAAACCGGTCTCCCTCAACGAAACTTAAAGTATATGTCCGGCTCAAAATCATTTTGCTATAAGATAAGTTATCATTTCGGATCACGCGGGGTCCAGCTGCGCTTACCTGCAGTCGTGAATGCAGTGATGGACAGCTATCTTTCCTCATTCGACTGTTTGGATTTCATGGGATTTCTCATTGTGGTGATATTACAGTATAACTCGGAATTACTTTTGATCAAATTAATTAATTAATCTATTTAGTAAGATCATTTTCAAGTAATTCCAAACTTCGCGAGGCAGACGACAACATTATGTGATCATATGTGATCAAATGCACACAACTTGTTAACACTCTCCACAGCGCCACCCAGTGCATTTAATTATAACTGCGAGCTAGTGCTTGGGATTTATCATGGATTCACTGCATCTACGGCCAGCAAAGCAACGTAGTAAAATTCGAATAGTAATTTATTTTTCCAATAATAATTACAGATCGAATATTTGAAAATTCGTGCACATCCCTACCCGAAACGCAAAAAATTTTACAAAGCAGAATGGGGCATCAGTTTACTGTCGGAGATTTGTCGCTCGCGCAACGCATTTTAATCAATGTTTCATCAACCAATTGCCTGGATTTAATAAAGTAGTAAATATACAGCAGACAATATAATCAGGACTTCTCAGCTGCGCGCTTGCAATAGTCACAAGCTCACACAACACATGACAGAGGCTGGTAGCAGAGAAATCAATTCTGTGAATTACACTGCGTAAATCAAAAGTAATAGGCTACTACCCACCGCATGAAGGGTTGGCTCTCAACAGAACATAAAATATTCGTTTTATTTTTCGTGTTCGCATTTATGAGGAAAAAACAATGTTACGGACTGTAAAGCTCTGAAAGCGGCACTAAAGTGCTTTAAAACGTTTACAGAGGCCTCAAACAGAAAGCACAAAGCCTTTCATTAAAGTGAATTTCGTTTTGTATTAATTGTATCTTAATTTTAATCAATGTTTCATCAACCAATTGCCTGGATTTAATAAATTAGTAAATATTGCAGACAATAGATAATCGACACGGAGGCGCCGACGCGTTAACTGCAACTCGTCTCATAAATGAACCGAAACTCAGCGTATAGACCTGAGAAATAGATCTATATTGAAATGTCTACTTTTAAACAGAACAATTCAAAGCGAAAGACAGACTGCTCTCTGCTGTAATCCGTATGAAATGTGCATTTCTCTCTAATATCAGCCCGCCAATATATCGGTCGGGCTCTACTTGGTATATCAATCATCGGCGAGGTGTAAATTACGTGGTATTAGTTTGAACTGCTACCGCTGAACTACCATTCGAACAACAGCTACAAATTAAAAATGAAGGACCCATGGCTAAGTTGCATATAGGCTACAGCAATCAGCTTTACTAGACAGCCGAACGTGCGCGTTTAACATGGACATTTAAAAGGACTGAAGGATGGATTTTTGCTTCAAGTGATAGTCTAGGACTAGGTAGGGGTGGGACAAAATAATGCGGCAATATATAGTTGTCCTCCGTGCGATATAATCGATTCACTGACACCCAATATTGATATTTTAATTAATAAAATAAGGCGCTCTAAATGGATTTCTTCATGGCTCCTCGAAGTGGTGCTCAACACATGAATGAGGGAACATATACAAATTAAAGGGTAACTAAACCCCTGTTCAGAGCATGACTCCACCCACTGGCAATATTTGAAAAATGCTGGAAAAGTGGGCGGAGCCCAGCGGGGATAGAGGTGATGAACGGACACTATCCTGATCGTTTTCAATACTCGCAATTCCAACTCCTGACTCGCTACAGTGGTTTTGACAAAACAAGATGGTTTTTATACTGCCATGGATGTGGTAGCTCGTACCAAGGGCGTGGTAAGCTGAAACCTGCTTACGTCAGCTCTCACTGCTACCGTCACGAACTACCGCAAACATCCAATAGGAAAATTCAACTGCAGTAGCCACCGTTCAACCTGAAGAGGGCAGCACTCAGATGTTTTTACACCATATATTGTAGAATTAAAACACTTTATACCCAAATGTCAAAAAAAGTTACTCGAATCAATGAACAGCACTAGGGATGTCCCGATCCGATACTCAGGATCGGTATCGCTCCGATACTGCCATTTTTGCGGGATCGGGTATCGATCTGACATCGATCAGACGAGGCCGATCCAAATCCGATATTGTGGGTATACTATTATGTGTTATTGTTAAGCCCCACAAAATGCACAAAAACATTCTAAAGTACCATAACGTTTTCGTGCACTCTATTATAAGTGTTCTGAAGCTATTATGTGAGATATAAATTAATATTTAAGTAATTAAATTCAAGATCACGTAAATTTTTCCCTCTCGCGGCTGTCAGTCATTCTCCATTCAGCATTCAAACAGCGCGTCGCGTTCGGTTGCAGTCAATGATGAAACTATCTTCAAGATGATTCAATGTTAATACTATTATACTTGATCTGTAAGATAAAGGTCTATGTTTTCGCATAAAACAACTTTATCTTGCTGGACTTTATTGCTGTAACTCAATCGTGTTACTCTCTACCGGGTGTCGGACGCTGTCAGTTTGATCACAACACTAGAGTCAGAGCACTATAATTGTTCTTCACGCGCACAGTAACTGAAATTTAAAACTGTTAAAAGAAAAGGCTCAATAAACGATTGCATAGATAGATACTGTATAATACACTGTCCATCAATATGTATCTCCGTTGTGCTTTGAACTTTTCAAAGCGGACTCGACGCGCTGCGTGCTGGAACTCCACGTGGCTTCAAGCGCATCATTCTCCGCTCGGGATGCGCATAAGCGCTTTGTGCCGCACTGTATTGGAGCCTTTCATATCATAATGCATTGACGCAATTAAAGCTTATTAACATTAATAATTATTAATGTTGCTGCCTCATTAAATAGCTGTGCAATACACTTAAAACATGTCTCAATTTTATAGCAGATTTAGCTATATCTAAAATAATTATCTTTTTCATTTTTGTTATCTTGTTTTTCATGAATGTATTTTACAACAATAAAAAGAGCAATGTGTATTATCCACTAATCTAGTTTATAATAGCATTTTTGTCATAGATTATGATCATATATTTTGGGGATTTGTTGTTTATCTTTATAATGAAGCTGTCTGTATTAAGTAGATTGTGTTTAACACACACAAGAGTGATAATCAGTTTAACACACAGTTATAGAAATTCTAATTGATTTAAAAAACAAAAACTGTACTGGTATTTTCACAATGTAGAATGCTGCTGTTTAAATTGTTTTAACTTTAAACCTGTTGGTAGCTAGCTAGCTTTAAGTACTGAAGTACCTGTATTTTCTTTCATTTATATATTTCTTTATTTTTTTGTAGTGTTTGAATAAAGGGTGGCAATCTTTCATAATCAACTGTTGTTGTGGACTATATAGGAGGTATATTTTAGGTGGCTAATTGAGAAAATTGCTATATTTTTTATTAGTTTAAGAATAAAATAAAAATATCGGATTAATATCGGTATCGGCAAAAGCCAAAGCTGCGGCATCGGTATCGGTATCGGAAGTGAAAAAGTGGTATCGGGACATCCCTAAACAGCACTAATAAAGCCCCAGTCTTACAGATCATTCATTAAAAAAAAAGTTGGTTTAGTGTTTAGTTACCCTTTAACTAGCATAAGAAAAAGAGGTTTTTAACAGGATGGCGGAGAGCAGTGAGAGTAAAATAGATGCAGCAACCTGCACTTAACCTTTTCATGGGCATTTTGTTTTCATAGTTAGACCGATATCTTGATGCATCATAGGATTGTCAAGCAATATTTTATCGCAAAATTGGTGTATCAGGATATTATTGGTATCCTGAGGTACCCCGCGATTCCCACCCCTAGGACAAGGTAAGTTATATTGTCTTGTTGAATATTTATAGAAAACGACACGTATACAGCAAGTATTCTCTGGTAACACTTTACAATAAGGTTCGTTAGTTAACATGAACCAATAATGAACATCACGTATACAGCATTTATTAGTCTTTGTTAAATGTTAACTTCAACATTTACTAACATAATTGATTAAAATCTTGTTAACATTAGTTAATGCACTATGAACAGCTGTATTTTTATTAAATAACGTTAACAAAGATTAACAAATACAGTAACAAATGTACTACTCATAGTTAGTTCAAATACATGTTAACTAATGAACCTTATTGTAAAGTGTATTCTATAAGTGACCAAAAAAGCCATTTTAAAGCAGTTAAATTACTTGGGAGTGGATTGGACCGCTAAAATTGTGTGCCTCTATTTTAAAACCCACCAGCCACCACTGACAATGATCAGGAGCTGTGACTCTTACCTGGTGTTTTACTGGGGGTTTTGGAAAGGCTCACTGATCGGTTGACACTCTTGTTTGGTGAGAGGGATTTTGTGTTGGTGGAGCTGGATGTGCTGGCTTTCCTCTGCCACCTCGCCATCGGGGCGTTTGTGATAGGCATGTCCAGCCGGAGGACATTGTGGATGTCAGTCTCAAACCCAAACTGGGACATTACTGCTAAAGAGATGGTCACTCTGTAGGAGAAAAGAAGACAGGATACGGAATCTGGCCACATGGAGCACGATAAAGTACCGTTTGATGAGATATATATATCAAAATAAGCAAACATACATTTTAATAGGCTTTCCATAAGCTTTGACAAAAGAATAACAACTTTAACTACATGTAGGGGTGTAACCATACCCTCATTTCACGATTCAATACATATCACGATACTGAACTCATGATACGATATTATTGCAATACTCCCAAGACATGGTAAAAGGTAACCAATTATTATTATTATTATTATTTTTTAATTGTTTACTGTTGATTAAAATGCTAAATTTCTAATTACATTGTGGGTGTAAATTAATAGGCTTGGAGCTTGTAACCCAATGCACAGGACAATTATATAAAAATATTCATGATTCTGAAGCTGAAAATTAAATACAGAATTATTTTAGACGAATAAGCTTGCACTCTGTCAGTAACTAACGTTAGATATATTTAAAATAATGTAACGTTAGGCCACTTTTTACTGGCAACATAAGACATTTGGAATCATCAGGAGTCAAGACCCACAAATACTCCCCCATTGCATTATTAGGCCTATACATTAAGTTAGTCACCACTATATATAGTTTAATGTAGCACCGTACTGAGACTAAAACTCTGAAAACTTGACTTTTTCCCTCAAATTAATTTTTTTGGTGAACTATCCACTAAAGTTACACATACTGTTGCAATTTTGTATTGCGATTTATTGTGACACGATACATTGTTACACCCCTAGTAAATAAGTTAGTTGTAAACGTTACCTAGATGATTAGCTGCTAACGTTACTGCACTAGTGTTCACAACTAACGTTAGCCTAATCATAAAACATATATATTTAATCTTACCACAAATCCAGCAACTTCGTTCCTCCGATGCACAACAAAATTGTCAATACAATTTAGCCGCTATTGTCTACGTGCAATTTTCGTGATTTCTTCGTCCTTCCACAAGCAGAGTCAAGACTCATCTGAGGGGGTGCAGGTGAAGACAGCTAACGGATGAACGCCAGTTTAAATGTCTTAAACGCGTGTCGTGATTGGACAATTCAAAAAACAAAGGTTTTCGCTGTTACCAAGGCAGCCAGGCAGAATGCTGAGCGCTGATTGGTGAATCGCATCATTGAAAACTTCCTGACAGTATTACATATTAAGAGTGCTTTAGGATCGTTTCTCAGGTTATGTCGTTAATCTGTTTTGTCGCTCACTGCTGGTTTAACGAAATTGTATTCTGAGGAAAAAAATAAGGTATGACAGAATAATATTTCTGAAATATGCATTCTGATTGAGTTGTTAACTGGAATGAGATTCACTTTATTCTGTGCTGCTCACATACAAGGAATTGTAATTGGTAAGACTTTAATGTGCTCACAGAAATACAGCAAATACACCAGCTTGGCAGAATTACAAGATCATTTAGAAAATAATAAGAAAACATTATACAAGTAGAGTTATTACATGTGCAATAAACCAAGAAATATAAAAACAATGAACTGAATATTGCACACATAGATTTGTAAAAGGAAACATGTTTGAATCAATATGTAAATATATGTGAATTTGTTTTGCACAATGTCTGGCCTGGCATTCAGTGGAAATATTGAGATGGCATGAGAGGAATAATGATTAACCATTCTCTTTCATTGCATCTTTTTCAAAATAGTGAATGCTGGTAACTGCCTGTTTCTTGACTGAGGCTGCCATTAGCGGAACATCTGAAGTCATACGTACATGTTAGAAATATCGAAACGATGACTTTTATTTTCGTTGAGATATCCTTTTATTTTAAATAAGAGTCTGTCACTAAGAGGTTAGAACTTTTATTTTGAAAATGCTAAAGACCGGTGTGGTCTGCCACTGTTGGGCGTGGCCTGTCTTCATGTTTTTGTTGCATTGGTTGCAGCAGTGGCAAAACAAATCCAATGTTATGTGCTCTTCTATGTGCCGCGCGGCGTTTTCATTAGAAATTCACTGAGGTAAATAAATTAACGTTTATTTATTTTTACAGTCAGACGGTTATTTTAATTCGCCAGTATCACGATTCAGCGAATGGGATATTAATACATGTTTTTCTGTTGACTTGAAGTATTATGTAGTTTTCTGTCTGCGGTGAGTTAGTGTTGTTTTGATGCTGTCACTAATTCCGCATGATGTTTTTGTTGTTTGCGTCACATAAACTGTCAGGTTTGTGAATCGGCTCGTACGGTCGGTAGGAAGGAGGAAGTGGAGTGGGTTTGCTGTTGACGAGGAAAAGAAAGTAAACTCCTCCACATTTCTTTTCTGGATCATCGGGGTGAGTCAGCACAGCCCACGTGTTACCAGCACATGTGACTGTCGTTTGCTTTGATAAACTTCCTCTGAGTCTGCTGTCAGTCAACGATAATCAACCTTCACGCTGCTATTTCGTACTCACATGAAAACTTAGTTCAAGTCTATAAGATTATTCATTCCTCAAAACCCTTGTATATTTATACATCAGGTTCTGACCTCAAGCATTCAGGTGTTTTTCTGTCCTGTAAAGGGTGGAGGAGTGGGAGTAGGTCGGGATGTTTGCCCGGAAAAACAAGCGAGCAGCGCCTAAAGGCCAAGGAGCAGCTGCAGCCAAACAGGTCAGTGTTCAGATGCTTTGCATATGATTGTCAGCTGTGAATGGTGTGAGGTAAAACATCTTAAAGCGACAGTTCACTTAAAAAAAGAAACCTGTCATTAATACTAAACTATACAAAAGTTTTGGATGAACTATCATTCGTACCTGTTGTTTACATTGGAAAGGGGCTGTGAGTTAGTTACCCTCAAATGATCTGTCAATCTCATGATCGTAATAATGGTACTATTTGGATCATGTGACATGTAAGCTTTTGTTTCGTTGTAGATGGGATTGTTGCTTGATTTCAAGCCTGATGATATGATGGGTATGGAGGAAGATTTGGATGATCCAGCATTAGAAGCTGAATTCGCTGCCATTGTTGGGAAGAAACCCAATGCGGCTGCCAAGGGGAAAAAGGCTGGCAAAGGTGGGCATCATGATTCCTGTTTCTTCATTTGAAATTCATATCATGACATGAATACAGACTGTATCTGTTGCAGCCAAACTTAAATTCTAAAGGTGGAATTTGAAATATTATCACCTAATGGATTCTATAATATACTCTTAATACATGTTGTGGTATTGCCAAGGTCTGTATTACCTGTAGAGAGATGTACATTAGCATTCCCATTCATCTCAGTGGCTGTTGCACGGCTGATGCAGAATCCCCCAGAATGACATAATGACAGGAAACTTATTTAATGACAAAGCTGATGTATACACACATTCCTGGGCAAAAATGGCCTTAAACACCAAAGATGCTAAACACTTAGCTTTGGTCAGGAAATTAACAAAATTTAAGCAAATGCTCTTTTTAAAGGGTTAGGGTCAAAAAGTTCATAAAGAGATCGTAAAACGAATCAATTTGAATTGAGCGATATAGTCACATTTATTTGAAGAGACACGATTGCTTTATATGATGAACAGATACAAATTTCAAACTGTGTTTTTGCACCCTTGCACTTTGAAAAGGAGACGCCATTTCTAGGAGCGTTCCAAACGTAAGTGAACAACTGAATCACTCCACAAAGGGCCCTTCCACAGGTCTGTTGGTGAAGGGAACATGCAGTGGTCACTTCAAGGAAGTAATTGAATCATTTATGGCCATGTTCTGCCCTTCGGCGTGAGTAGGGTATAGGGATGCTCACTTCTGATTGGAATTAACAATTTTTTACTCTTTAGCGAACAACAAAAAGAAGCCCAACCGAACCCGCTTGACACATGAGAACAAACCTCATTTGTTCTTGCGGAAGCTTAAACGTGCTGCGAATTGTGCGTAACACACAAGAATCCAACCTCATTGGTTCTCGGACATCAAGCGAACATGCTTGTGCTTCCGTTTATCATAACTGATGTGTGAGTTGATGAATGTTTGTAAGTTGTTGTTGTTGTTTTCTAATCTAAAGTTGGCGAAGGCTATTCCATGCTAAGTTACTTTATCTACAGTATTTGTGCAATTCTTGTTAATTTCCTGACCAGTGACCTGTGATTAAAATGGTGTGTGTGTATATATATATATATATATATATATATATATATATATATATATATATATATATATATATATACTGTAACATTTGTGAACTGTACATGGCAAATTTTGAATGACCTTCCATTTTGGAAAGATGTTTTTTTTGCAGCCAAATGGTATAATTACAACATCTACTAGCAGGGACTAATTGTATTATGGTAACCAGCCTTGACCCTCCGAATAATGTTTCTATTGGCTGCCTTAATTGTCTGACTGTATGTTAGGAGCCTGAAGGTCCTGGAAATGTTTTGTGAACGTTTAAATGAATCTAACTTGAACTTTTATGTTCAAGCTCCATTACCAATGGAGGATATTGAAAAAATGGCGGAGGCCTGCATGAAAGACATTGATGATGATGACGATGACAGTCTGGAGGAGGATGAAGACCTCTTGGTAAATGAAACCTGTGATTTTTGGCAGTTTCTCAGGTATCCCTCTCAGCACCTTCTGAATGTGTAACGGTGAGTTTAAAGTGTTTGTTTTGTTTCTCCCTAGGCCGAGCTGCAGGAAGTGGTTGATGAGGAGGAAACGGAAGACTCAGGTGCCGCAACCCCAACCTCCCCTGTTAGTGAGGAAACTCCTTTAGCAGCCCAGGTATCATCTAAAATGTATTTAGGAAGCTGTAATCATATTATCTTTGTACAGTTGTAGTATGAAAGTTAGATTTAATCTTTCTTTAAAGATATGTGTTATTTTTGTGTGACATGTGAAGGACAACTATGGTAATGGTAACCCATACTCAGAATTTGTCCTCTGCATTTAACCAGTTAGGAGCAGTGAGTAGTGAACACACACACAATTAAACTGCGGACACACACCTGGAGCAGTGGGCTGTCATTTTTATGCTGTGGCGCCCGGGGAGCAATTCGCCTTTGGCTAAACCCCGCCCCCCTTAGTTACTGTTGCTACTGTTCGACAAACAAACTTCATCTGGGCTCTGGTATCAACATGGCTTATGCTGTGACAGTTCTTCCTGCTGAAATTTGATCAAACTTTTATAAAGCAGCAAATAAAGTGTCTGATAGAAGTAGGCAAAAGGGGCTGCAATATACGTTCGAAGGCTATATTCACGACATGCAGGTGAAACGCAAGGAACAACAAGGCATCCAAATAGAGGCAAAAGCATACCGGTCACAGTCAAAAAATGAACCACCGCATATCCTACTAATCGAGACGGAGGCTGGGACTAACAATATCAAGGAGCAACACTGGTAATACAAAGCTGGGTAGGTCTCTATTCACTTCTATAATCGTTATTACAAAGCAAACGGACTACGCGAGTATAACGTTGTATTTATTAGCAACGTGTGCTAGACGACACTTGTCAGGATTTGACTTCGGTTTGGGAAGGGAAAAACACGCACACCCCACTCCAACCTCTCTGGGAAACGCGTATCTGTGTTACAAATGCCCCAGGCACAACGTTTAACCATATTTTTGATAAAACTACGACGGTAATAGCCTGCCGAGACCAAAAATATGAGACGCCTGTGATAAAGTCAATGGAGCGCTGTGAAAAAGTGTCGGACCTCTGTGGGAGGCGAGCTCGTTCTTGGCTGCGCTGTGATTGGTCAATCTACATTTTAGGGTGTGGCTTAGCCAAAGGCGAATTGGGGGTTAGGTGCCTTTCTCAAGGGCACCTCAGTTATTTCATTTTTTGTCGGTATTGAGAATCAAACCCGCAACTTTGGGGTTATCAGTCTGACACTCTAACCATTAGGCCATGACTGGCCCCTATTTTTTTTTTTTAATCATGTTGGTAATTCCATTGAATTGCTCATATAGAGATTGAGCTCATATACACTACCGTTCAAAGGTTTGGGGTCTCACTCTAAATTGTAAATGTAGACATGCATTTTCTGTTAAGCTGTTTTTGAAACGTTATGTATTGTGAAAAGCGCTATACAAATAAATGTGAATTGAATTTTGTGTAAGTAATATGCCACTTCATATACGATTTTTTTTCCCCCCACAGGACACTAAGGTTTCTTCAGTTCCTGGGAGCATTGAGCACACCTTAGAGGAGAGAATAAACCTGTATAGGATGGCTGTTACCAATGCCAAATCTACAGGGGAAACCTCTAAAGCTCGGAGATATGAGAGAGGCCTCAAGGTCAGCGCGGATATAGTGTCACTGCTAAAAAAAAACTAAAAGAAAAGAACTCTTTTCATGATAATTGACGCTCTCATATTCTTGTTTAGACATTACAGACTATGCTGGCATCAGTGCGAAAAGGGGGGAAGATAGACGAAACTGAGATTCCCCCTCCAGTTGCGTGTGGAGCATCTGATGGTCCCAGTCGGCCCCCTGCCCCTGCAGTGTCACCTGATCAGCACGGGGAGAGTGACAGCGCTGTAGAGATCTCTCCCGTCTCCTCGGAAGCCGCCCCTGTTGTCATGGATCCAGCATTAAACCGTAGAGACGAGTCTTCCGGTGTAACGTCTCCAGCTTCACTGTCATCTCCAGAAGGGGAACACGCAGGAAGTGCCACTGAATTGCACTTAGGTCAGTCAAGTGCTTTTGTCGTAACACAAAAGGTGAACATACACAACCGTTTAAAAGTTTGGGGTCATTAAGATGCTTTTTTTTCCTTAAAGGAATTAATACTTTAGAAAGGACACATTAAATTTATAAAAAGTTAAAGTAAATACATTTATAATATGACTTTTTTTCATGACTTTAAGTTTCTATTTAAAATAAATGCTGTTCTTCAGAAAATCCTGAAAAAAAGTTTCTTGAGCACAAATCAGCATATTAGAATGATTTCTAAAGGATCATGTGACCCTGGAGACTGGAGTAATGTTGCTGAAAATTCAGCTTTGCCATCACTGGAATAAATTCTATTTTAAAATATATGAACATGGAAATTAGTTATTTTAAATTGTTGTTAATGTATTTTTGATCAAATAAATGTAGCCTTGGTGAGCATTAGAGACTTTTTTTGAAAATTCTTACTGACCCTAAACGTTTGAATGTTAATGTAAAATCTTCAGTTACACAACTTAAATTGTTATGCTGATATTATAATTTGTGTAGAAACTTGTCTATATTAAAATTGAAAATATTACAAAACAGAAGCATTTTCAATACTGGACTTTATAATATAGTATATAATATTGGATGCGATTTTATGTGCTATCAGTATTTTAATACATATTTAAATTCATAATACAATATTAACATTTGTTTTCATTAATATTTGACAGCAGTTATGTGTATTTACTAGTGGAGCTTATATTTGGCTTTTCTGGTTAATGAATTATTCCCTGCTGTCCAGTGTCCAACAACCCTAAAAATAATAGTTTATGTTGATCATATCATTTGATTTGAATCATTTGTCATTTTCATTAATGCTAGTAGTCATAGTTCAATGTACAAATGCAAATGCAAAAAATATATAGAAAAAAGGTCATTGTTTTTGTTCATTGGGCCATCAAGGCTGGATGTGGAAAGCAAACTATGTTGAAAATAAGGGTTTTCCCTTTAAGTTGTTCCTGACTTATTAAATTAACTAAAAGTTTGACATTCTGCATAGCTGTTCTTGTAAAGAGCGCATTGTGTTTTCTCTGCTCCTAAAGCAGTCTCTACAGTCGGACAGCCCACTAAAGGCGTTCTGCTGGAGCTACAGAAAGAGTACAGGATGGCAGCTCTCAAGGCCAAACAAGCAGGAGAGATTGACCAAGCCAAAATGCATATAAAGGCCAGTAAGGTAAGATGTGGTTTCTATTCAAATGTAAATAGCCATGTATTGCTAGGTCTGTGCTGTTAATTTCAAATAGTGGCATATATGTCAAATTCAGCCTCCCCTCTCTGGGCTTGTCCTTAGAGTGTTCTTGTATTTTTGTTAATTGTACAGTGTTGGAATTAGTTAATTAGTTTTACACTGTTGATTTATGAAGAGATTTGCAAATGTAGTTGTTTTCTTTGTCATGTAAACTCTTTTGGTTTTATGTTTTGCACACTCTTGTAACAGACGTGGCTTTAAACATGTATCGCACCCTGTTAATGTGTCTTTTTCCGTTTGCCTTCTGCTCTAATACGGAAATTTTGACTTGAACTTTCCAAAGAGTCTGTAACTCAAAAGACTTTACTGTTGTCAAGTACGGTTTCAATTCGTGGCATCAACCACTTCAGCTATGTTGTCATGCAAGTTTGAATATTCTTCTTAACCGAGTGTCTTGTTCCCGTAAACCATGATTTCTAATAACTCACTTGTAACAAAAATGTGCTAAGTTATTTGGGGTATTCAAGACTTGTAGGAAGTAGACAAAGAGAAGCTCTATGCTGTTTGCTTGTTTGGCTCAGGGATTCGATGCAGCAATTGAGGCTTTGGAGAAAGGCCAGCCGGTGGATGTGAGCTCCCTTCCGCCCCCTCTTTCTCAAGGTAAGAACTGAATTGTAATCAGTCAAGAGAATGACACTATATAAGCCATGATGTCACATATTTGTTATATATTTCCAATGCATGTAGCATTATAGAGTAAAGGCTTAATTCTTTTCCACAGCATCTACTCAAGCCGCACCTCAGACTGCTGTTAAAATCTCACCTTCAGCTCCTGGTTAGTACACCAAGTATTTTCAGAGACCGAGCATATTTCTTTTTGTCTACGTTAACACTTTCAGTTTTCGGATTTACTTATATGCGAAGCGCATTTACTTACAGGTGTGAGTCTCGAAATGTCCCATTTACACAGCACCTTGTAGTAGCATCTCGAATACTGTCTGTATGAACGTGCAACGGGAGTCAAGCCCGAATTCTCTAACCAGTAACCAAAGTGACTGTGACCAAAGTAATATCAAAGATGGTAACGCCCATAAAACTGAGAAGTCTCATCACTTTTGACATTACAAAAGTCCAATCAAGCGGCGACTTCATCGATTCACATAGCGCATGTTTTCTGAGAATGCAGTAGACTTGTATTCAAGACCGCCTAAACCGAGACCAAGACACTACCAAGACCAGAGGGTATCGAAACCAAGACACTACCAAGACCAGAGGGTATCAAGACCAAGACCAGAGGGTATCAAGACCAAGACCAGAGGGTATCAAGACCAAGACCAGAGGGTATCGAGACCAAGACACTACCAAGACCAGAGGGTATCGAGACCAAGACCAGAGGGTATCGAGACCAAGACCAGAGGGTATCGAGACCAAGACCAGAGGGTATCGAGACCAAGACCAGAGGGTATCAAGACCAAGACCAGAGGGTATCGAGACCAAGACACTACCAAGACCAGAGGGTATCAAGACCAAGACCAGAGGGTATCGAGACCAAGACCAGAGGGTATCGAGACCAAGACCAGAGGGTATCGAGACCAAGACCAGAGGGTATCGAGACCAAGACCAGAGGGTATCAAGACCAAGACCAGAGGGTATCGAGACCAAGACACTACCAAGACCAGAGGGTATCGAGACCAAGACCAGAGGGTATCGAGACCAAGACCAGAGGGTATCGAGACCAAGACCAGAGGGTATCGAGACCAAGACCAGAGGGTATCGAGACCAAGACCAGAGGGTATCGAGACCAAGACCAGAGGGTATCAAGGCCAAGACCAGAGTGTATCGAGACCAAGACCAGAGGGTATCGAGACCAAGACCAGAGGGTATCGAGACCAAGACCAGAGGGTATCGAGACCAAGACAAGACCAAGTCGAGACCAAGACCGAGACCAAGACCAAGACCAGGTCGAGACCAAGACCAAGACCGAGACCAAGTCGAGACCGGAGGGAAAAAAACAGACTAGTGTTGAAGCTAAGCAATAACTTGTAAGATTTTGTTTTGCATTGCCTGCCTATCTCTGCCGATTTCGAAGTCTCCAAATGAATCCATTCTGCAACTTTTAAATACATAATTATATTTTTAAAAACGAAATTATAGGCTTAAGTGCAGGACCCGAAAGTTGGTCGTTTTGTCGCTATGGTTACACACACACACACACACACACACACACACACACACACACACACCGTTGGCGGTGCGCTCAAAGTCATCTGTCAGTTGTGCAGTTACCCAAAATCTCCTGAATGAAGTTAAAACCCATCATGTCACTGATAGGTTTTACTAAATATTAATACATCAAAAACTGTACATGATATGTGTTTTTTAAATCAAGTGATCAAAGTGCTCGTTGCCGCTGCGATCAGTGGCGCGGATACAGTGTTTTCTCGTGTGGCTCGCGCACACCACACTGTCTTCACTCGGGCGCGCGCTTCAATCCGTTGTGGATATTGTCATGGATATTGTAGTATTGTATTGCTAAATCCCCCGACCACTATGTCGGTCTGAGACAGCTAGACCTAGACAAGACCGAGAGGTCCGAGACCAAGACAAGACCAAAGACCGTCAAGGCCGTAACAAAACCGAGGACACGTAAAAGTGGTCTCGAGACATACATCACTAGAATGCAGTTGTGGATTTACGGGAGTTTGGTTCTAGAATGCGGTTGTCACTCCTGTAAATAACTGAACTGTGAGTGAACTTAACTGTATTAATGACTTGCTAGTAGTCTGATTATCGTCAAACCCGAATTACTGGATTTGCTTTCTCCTCGTCTCATTTTGAGTTTTTGTTATACCAGCAGACAGCGTTTCTGGCTCGGCTCAGCCCAAGACTGTTCTTGAAGCTCTGGAACAGAGGATGGCCAAGTACAAAGAGGCCTTCACACAAGCGAAGGCCAGCGGGGACGAGCGCAAAGCCCGCATGCATGACCGCATTGCTAAAGTTAGTAAAACTGTCACCTAAACCTCAAATAATGGTATATTGTCACCACTGAATGTCCTAGAACTTTCAGTTTCTCTTGCATTGTTTCCTTTTTAGAGTTTATCTGATTGTAGAAATCCATTCAAGTTCATGTTAACATACCACACCACATTTTACGCATAGCGAGGTGTTTGCGCAGACTTGTTGATTTCAGAGTATGTTCTTGTTTCTGTGGCCCACAGCAATACCAGGCTGCCATACGTGCCCATAAAGCAGGTCGACCTATCAATTATGACGAACTTCCAGCCCCTCCAGGTCAGTTGAGTAGTCTGAATCTTTTGTAGTAAAAAAGACCTTAGACTAGACATTTTGCTTACATAGTTTTATGTATATGTGCACTACCGTTCAAAAGTTTCGGGTCAAAAAGAATTTTCAATGTTTTTGAAAGTCAATTTCAAATAACTGTTTTTTATTTTAATATATCTTAAAATGTAATTTATTCCTGTGATGGTAAAGCTGAATTTCAGCATCATTACTCCAGTCGTCAGTGTCACATGATCCTTCAGAAATCATTCTGATGATTTGCAGCTAAAGAAATATTTCTTATTAATGTTAAAATAGCTGTGCTGCTTTAATATTTATTATATTCTCTGGGGAATATAAAGTTCAAAAGATCAGCATTTATTAAGTGGAAAACGTTTGTAGTATTAAAGTTTTTTTATGCATGCTGAGAAAACAAGGAGACATATTAACTTAAAGCGTTCCCTATAGGCTTTCCTCCAATCCCAGGCCAGAAGGCCGCTTCTCCAGACCAGGGATTGGCTGCTGTCCTGGAAACTGCCAATAAGCTGACATCTAATGAAGCTGATGATGGTGAAGAGGAAGATGAAGAGGAGAAGGTATTTTCCTAAATTCTGTAGCAGTTCTTACAATAAGTTCCTTTTTTTTTTATTTATTTTTTTTATAAGTGACCATAATGTTATTTGATTTCTAGGTTAAGGCTCCAAAAGCAGTAGACCAGAAGAAGCCCACTCTTGCAGTACAGCCTACAGTACAGGAGCCCAAGAGGACTCCTTCACCTTCCCCAGACAGAACATCCAAAAGAGGAAGTGTGCCTGACACCGGTAGAGTTGTGATTTAAGATGGCCTGTTAATTGTGATGCTGTTGTATTCATAACTGATTAATGTGAGAATTGTATGCAAAATACCTGTCAAACGTGTAGAGGTTACACGTTTACTTCATGTTTTGACTCGATTACGATTCAGAGGGTAACGATTCGATTATAAAACGATTCTCGATGCATCACAATGCATCTTTTACTAATCACAATATAGTTATTTTTGTTGTTAAAAGCACATAAAAAGCAGTAGAACAAATACAATATAAGAAAGATTCAAATTAAATTAACAGTTGTTCACTTTTTTTAATTTTACATCTGTTTTAACAGAAGCATTCAGGTAAGAAATAGTAAAGAAATTGAATAATCAAATGTAACAAAAATATCAATGCATAGTCTTTAGTGTACTAATTGAAAATTAACTGATTATTGTTAAAGCTAAAAAGGCGATTTAGTTAAGAGCAGTGAGTGATTCCCTTGTTTTTGTTGCTTGATTAACATTAATGACAGACAGCAGCGGGTTTATTATATTAAGACCTAATGCGCGGATCTAATATAATGTTACACATCCGATTTTTCCCAACGGTTTATTCACTTAAGACGTAACAATGTTTACGTGAATACTCGCCAAGAGAGATATTTGGAAATAATTCTGTGTGTATCTGTCCGTTGAAGTGCAATACGCCTCTAAAGAGAACTGAATTTGTGATTGCATGCTGTCTGAGAGGCGTCTTTCTGTGCGTTCGCTTCGGGTGTGTGTCAGTCAGTGCAAGTAACGCAGATCTTTTTCGCTTCATACATCTGTTCTACATCAGGCACATCCTGCACATTATTTTCTCATTCATGCATGTTCTTTTCGTAAAAAAACGAAACATCAGATGCAAATGCTTTGCTCTCTAATGACACGCAACTTTTCTTTATTGATATATAATATATATATATATATACACTCACCGGCCACTTTATTAGGTACACCTGTCCAACTGCTCGTTAACACTTAATTTCTAAGCAGCCAATCACATGGCGGCAACTCAGTGCATTTAGGCATGTAGACATGGTCAAGACAATCTCCTGCAGTTCAAACCGAGCATCAGTATGGGGAAGAAAGGTGATTTGAGTGACTTTGAACGTGGCATGATTGTTGGTGCCAGAAGGGCTGGTCTGAGTATTTCAGAAACTGCTAATCTACTGGGATTTTCACGCACAACCATCTCTAGGGTTTACAGAGAATGGTCCGAAAAAGAAAAAACATCCAGTGAGCGGCAGTTCTGTGGGCGGAAATGCCTTGTTGATGCCAGAGGTCAGAGGAGAATGGCCAGACTGGTTCGAGCTGATAGAAGGGCAACAGTGACTGAAATAACCACTCGTTACAACCGAGGTATGCAGCAAAGCATTTGTGAAGCCACAACACGCACAACCTTGAGGCGGATGGGCTACAACAGCAGAAGACTCCACCGGGTACCACTCATCTCCACTACAAATAGGAAAAAGAGGCTACAATTTGCAAGAGCTCACCAAAATTGAACAGTTGAAGACTGGAAAAATGTTGCCTGGTCTGATGAGTCTCGATTTCTGTTGAGACATTCAGATGTTAGAGTCAGAATTTGGCGTAAACAGAATGAGAACATGGATCCATCATGCCTTGTTACCACTGTGCAGGCTGGTGGTGGTGGTGTAATGGTGTGGGGGATGTTTTCCTGGCACACTTTAGGCCCCTTAGTGCCAATTGGGCATCGTTTAAATGCCACGGCCTACCTGAGCATTGTTTCTGACCATGTCCATCCCTTTATGGCCACCATGTACCCATCCTCTGATGGCTACTTCCACCATGTCACAAAGCTCTAATCATTTCAAATTGGTTTCTTGAACATGACAATGAGTTCACTGTACTAAAATGGCCTCCACAGTCACCAGATCTCAACCCAATAGAGCATCTTTGGGATGTGGTGGAACGGGAGATTCGCATCATAGATGTGCAGCCGACAAATCTGCGGCAACTGTGTGATGCCATCATGTCAATATGGACCAAACTCCCTGAGGAATGCTTCCAGCACCTTGTTGAATCTATGCCACGAAGAATTGAGGCAGTTCTGAAGGCAAAAGGGGGTCCAACCCGTTACTAGCATGGGGTACCTAATAAAGTGGCCGGTGAGTGTATATATAGCTCTACAAACGGGTTTAAATCTGGCTATTGTCTCCTCAGCTCAGCAGCAGCTGGAGTTTCTGGAGGGCCTCAGAAAGCAGTACATGAAAGCAGCGCTGCAGGCAAAGCAGAAGAATGAGCTAGAGCAGGCCAAGACACTCCTGCGCACAGCAAAGGGTTTAGACCCCATGATAGAAGCCGCACGTAGCGGCAAAACTGTGGATGTAAGCAAGGTAACCACACTGTGTCCCTGTTTTTAACAAATTCTTTAAATTATGCTATATTAAAAGTTGCTAGTTTTGTCTCCTTCCATTGTTTTTTTTTAGCTTGGATGCATGTAAACCTCTTTTTTTCCCACATTTATAATAAATTGCAGTCACCTTTTTTCTCACAGTGTCTGAAACTGTTATACTGTTAACTGATAAAGAATTCAGTCTTCCTAAACCCCTTCTTTCCGAGAGTCTACTCTGCTCTGATTGGTCAGATGGCCCAGTCTGTTGTGATTGGTCTACTGCTTACAGCGCGTGTCAGAAACCAAAGAAATTGTAGCTCCTGATCTTCCTCAGCACTTGTTGTGACACAGTAACAATGGCTTCAGTTTTACCGTATCAGTTTCCAGTCCTCATCCTTTGGAAGTGGACTTGCTTTTGCAGCGCAGAAAACAGCGTGTTCTCAACATGTCGACAACATGAACCAAACTCTTCCAGGTCTCAGCTACAACTACAGTGTTTGAGTAGTAGACTTTTGCAGGCAGACATTATGCATGAAAACCATTATGCAAAATTGTTACAAACCTACTTTTTACAAAATTACTGACGACTCCGGTCAGAATCGGTTCTTTCTTTTGGGAGTCAATAACTTAATTTCTCGTGCACACTGATCTTTGAAACTTCGCAGACCGTTTACATTCACAAACAGCTATATTACACACTACATGAAAGGTAATATCTGGAAAAGCATAATAGGGGCATCCATAATGAAGTAATGATTAATAATCAGCTTTTATGCTTCAGGTGCCTTCACCACCTGGAGATGAGGACGAGGACTTTATTCTAGTCCATCACAGTGATGTTCAGATCTCAGAGAAGGCTGAGGAGGTCTACACTCAACTCACCAAACTACTCCAAGAGCAACATGAGGTAACAGGAACGTGGTGAAATTGTGAAGTAACAGAGAGAACGGATCTGTGCCAAAGCCTAGTGAGCTGCCATGCTGTCTACTGCCTACATAGGCAGCAACCTTTGAACTGGTTCTGAAATGAAAGTGAATGAATTTGAACACGTTGTATGTGCACGCGAATAGCTTCTCTTCTGATTGCAAAAGTTTGATATTCATTTTCTGTTCAACAGATTGATACTCTAATAAACATAAAAATACATAGTGGGTAAAACAGTCGAGTTATAATCAAAAGTATATTTATAGTCAATATTTCACAAATATCACTCACAAGAAACATGCTACACTTGATTCCAACATGATTTGCTTTTAGCATGTTGCTATGCAAACAACAATATATGAAACAAAAATAAACATCAGGTAAAATGTATTATTCAATATAAGTACATTTATAGTCCATATTTCACAGGCGACATTGTGCTCTCATGCTGTACAGTTGATTTTAATAGAATTTGATATTAGCATTTTGCTAAGTTAACAACTATTGGGTAAAATAGTCAATATATATTCAGTTTAAGTATATTTAAAGTCAATTTTCCACATCATGCTCACAAGAAGCACATGCTATTTTCTTGATTTTAGTAGAGTTTGATATTAGCATGTTGCTAATGTAAGGAATCTGGGGTTCATAAGCTCTTTAGTCAATTTTGATTTTGGGGATAAATATTCAACAGTTATTAATCTCTGATCAACAAATTATCGAATATAGTTTGAACCGAGTCCTTGCATAGATAAATCACCCAACCAGGGGTTGTACAGCATATACGTCTGTTCAGGGCATGTATACCACAATTAACACAACGAATTATGATTAATTATGAATATACATCCCGCACAGAGGGCTATGACTGATCTTTAAAATTACCACAGCGATTGATATCTCTTTCTAAGCCAGCCCGTCCGCCGCGCTGTTTCGCTAGAGGTTACCAATGGCTGCTGGTCTTATTTTAGCTTAAATTTACTGACAATGTTTTGTGCACTTAACAATTATCAGATTGTAGCTAGGATCTTTATATTAAAGAGGCTTTGTTATGTGATCAACAACAAACACAGAGGCAATAAAGTATAAATGAGGTTTAATGAACTACACTACATGTAAAACAAAGATATATATATATATGAAACCAAAATGAACTTAAACAATAAGAAAATAAGGTAGAAACACAGGGAAAAACACAATTGCTAGCACAGTTAGGTCCTCAGAGACAGCTTACAGAATACACACTTCAGAGCGTCTAAATTTAGATGGAACAGTTTGCATTCAGACCTGGTTAGAGTGGTGTGGAAGCGAGCTCGTGGCGTCCTGGGAATAGGAGGCGGGCTTCTTTGATTCCTCCAAGCGTGGTTGTCGCGGGAGATTTAAAAGTTCTAACGCAGTTCTGTATGCGTGAAGATAGTCCTTTCGCTGGGATGCTGGAAGACTAACAAAACGCACGTGGGTATCTCGAGGACCGCACTAAGGACAGACTGGCTATGCGCAAAATAAAACGAAGACAAAATAAAACAGGAACAAAATAAAACACGAAGATTACATCGGGATACAGGAACAGAGAACAGAGAACAGAGAACCAATGTCTCTGAGTTTGGGGTTTTAAAGATAAACAGAACACGCCTTGGATAGGTGTGTCGGCCAATGATAATGGCCCATCTTGAAGAGAGCCTACGCCCCCCCGAGTGGGTCATTCGGAATCAATTTGCATCTTTATGACCAGCAGGGCCTTAAGCTTACTTTGGAAATGGCATATATAGGTAGATATATATATTTCACGCTATCGATATACAGCTTAATGAATAGATCAGACTTTTAGGGTCACAAACATATCAAACATCACACATCACAGACATCATATTGCAGAGTTACCTCTTAATGCACACTTTCAGGTATTTATAAGTGTCTTACATTCATGAAAACATTCGTAGGACATGTTTGCACATTTATAGTTCTGTTGCAGGTATTTTAATACACCAACTCTGTTTTAATGCCGATTTATAGATAAAAACTTAGGGTTCGTATGTGTGTGTGTGAACATAGGTGTGTGCGTATCTTCATTTGAACATCTGGCACCCCCCTTCTCGCCGGAGAGGGGTGTTAGAGATAACGGTCCTCTTTGATCGTGCCGCGCGAATGAATCGGGCTGGTACGAAGAGGTCTGGGTGTTGTCTCAGGAGGGGGGAATTCGCTGTTTAATGGACATTCAGGACCATTTGTCACCATAAATGTTTGAAAGTCCATTTGCTCTCTAGACTTTTAGGCGCCAGTTTGGAAGGTTGGAGACCTTATCACGGGACCACATGGTACTAGGAATGTGGGTTAGTTAGGGTCCTTTGTTAACTTTTCCTGTTGTGAGTTAAGGATTTTACCACAAGAGAATCAATGATTGTCCCTTCAATCCCTACAGTCCCCCCTTTCGGGAGATGAGGTCCCTGGGGAGATCTCGTCTGCCGATAATCATTGCATGGGAGGATGGAAGGTGAATCATGAATTTGGATCACAGGTGATTATCAGGGCTGAGGGCTTAACTCAATGAGGTTGCCAGCGGCTTCTTGCGTGTTATCCTCCTTCCGGGGGTTTCGTCGAAAGCCTCCGGACACGGCTTTGGTGAGCCTGATGGTAGCTGCTCGGTTCTCGTTGAGTCTCCTGTACAGGATGAAAGCCAAGCCCAGTGTTAGAATGTGACTAACTACCATAGAGAGGCACAGCGCCGTGTCGGCTGCGGTCCAGGCTCGGGCAACAGGAGAGGTAGTCAAGAGGGGCTGTCGAGACAAAGCTTGTAGGGCAGAGTCGAGGGGAGCAATGTCGATCAGCTGTGACCCCCCTGTCTCAATTTCCAGTTCCAGTTCTGGACCCAGGGTGAAGTTATAGTTCTTGAAGAAGGAGGGGATTTCCAGTTCTGTTTCGTACTCGTGGCTCGGGAGATGATATAATGCCAGGTCATCTACGTGGAGGATGGCACCTTTAGGTACTTGAATCCACATGCTCTGGTTGAGCAGGCTGACACGGGTGGCGGTGTCATGCTGGTCATAGGTAAGAGTAGCCGTGAGTACCGGAGTGTTGACGAGCCACCGGTCACCGATGATCTCTGCTCGGGTTTCTTCTACTTGCATGCGAGGCTTAGCTTCGGCCGGGCAGCGGTTGTCGCTGGACATGGTTTGCAGCCCACAGATTCCATTAGTGTTATCTCTGAGGAAGGGTTTGCTAGGACAGAGATAGTGAATGTCTTTCGTTAATGTGCACATGTGCAGGTTTGGGGCCAGGTACAGCTGTGGATCGCTGTCGTGGTAGGCCACCACATCTGGGGTGCGGATTTTGAGGTGTGTGTTACCCTTCCAAAACCCGACATTGACAATGTCTTTGAGTCTGTAGATTCGGCTTGACTCTATGATGGGTAAGTTCAGGAGGAAGCCCATTTCTCTTTGCTCTGGGTCGACATAGAGTGGGATGGCGCTGCCGAGCGAGTAGGCCAGGTGTACTTGGAGCGGATCAGCTGGTGTGGTGATTGCGGAAGCCAGCACAGTCTGGACAAGGCTCAACGGTATGAGGTAGGGCGGGATCCTACCCATGGCTAGGCTGTCGATGGATGAGCTCACCTCCCGCAACATGTCTGACATCAGGGCGGTGACTAGCTGAGTTTGGGCAAAGTCATTTTGGAAAACAGTGAACATCTGTTTCATGGACTTTATAGTCTGGTTCAGCAGGACACTGTGGGTGTTGAGAATGACCACAGTTCCTCTCAAGGTCCTTCCGACGGTCTGCAGGGAAGCACTCTGCACGTTGAGCTGCTCTTTTAGCTGTGGGATCTCTGTTTGAATTTCAGCAACCTGTCGTCTCACGGTGGCTAGGTTGACGGCGTTGACACTTGACATACCAATGTTGAACAGAGTTCCCACCGCAGCTGCGGCTCCCAGCAGAGCTCCAAGGAACCGTTTGGGGCGGCGGCTGTGTCCGCCCAATTCTGCTTGGGTGACGGTCATCTTTTCGAGTTGGTTCAGCATGTGCCTGACGTCGGCCTCGGCGTGGTTGAGAGAGTCCTCGGTCCATCGGGCCCCGGCCCAGCTGTACTGGGCTGTTGCACTGGGGTAATGTGCCCGGTACACATTGCGGGGATCTAGTCGAACGTACACCTTCTGGGTGTGGGTCCGGCAGTTGGTGATCAAGAGACCTGGTTGCTCCCTCAGCACAATGCCTGACGCCGGGCCGGTTGAGATGACGTCAGGTGGCGGTTGCCCTCGGGTCGACTGGACAAGCAGGATGGCGAACCACATCAACATCCTATTAGAGGTGAAAGGGAAGATGTGTAGAGAGAGGGGGAGAGAGAGAGAGAGGGACAGTGTGTCAGCGAGAGTTGTCCTTGGTTTGGCAGGACAGTCTTCTCACTCCTAGGAGGGTAATCAGGTTAGTTTGCATTGGCCTCTCCCCGCCTTTCTCGGCCAACAGCCGAATGTCTTTTAATTTGGTTGCGGTGGACCCATTTGAGCACTGGGTCTTTCTGTCCCCGGCTCAATTGGATTCGGTACGCCACCGGAGAAAGTTTGTCAACAATTTCATGAGGTCCTGTCCAATGGGGTAGGAATTTCTTTGACAGCCGATGGGAGGCTGTGCGTGGTGGCTGCGCGAAGCTGTAATACCAGACTCTGTCACCCACGGCTAGTTCCTGGTGTGACGCTTTCCGGTCATAGTATGCTTTCTGGCCCTCGGCGCTCTTTTGAAGCTGTTGTTGGGCGAAAGCGAAGGTTGCTTTCAGGTGCCGGTGCAGCTCATCGAGGTACTGGTGAGTGGTGCAGGCTGTGATGAGACCGGAGTCTCCTGGCTGATACAGCAGGTGCAGTGGAAGTGTCATCTGTCGTCCAGTCATTAGTTCGAAGGGAGACACCTGAGTTGAGTCCTGTGGGGTGGCCCTGAGAGCCATTAACACCAGCGGGAGTTTCACGTCCCAGTCTTTCTGGTTGGCAGCCACATACTTTC